ACTGTACACCGCGGGGATCGACTCGCCTTTCGAGAACCCGACAAGCATAGTACCCAGAGGAGTCTTGTAGTATTTCGTTCTTTAGGCTGCGGCTTGCGGCTCTAGCCATGTCGGCGAGCTGTTGTCGAGGATCCATGATGCGGGAGGAAGATGTTTGGTGGTAGGCAACAGGGATTGGAGCTGGTTTTATATAGTGAGGCATGGATAAAGCAAGTTAGTGATCGGTGCCTAGGGTTGGTTGAGCGGCTGTGGTTGATATGCAAAGTTGGGAGGAGCAGTGATTATAGCGCAAGAGAGGATCAAGAAGCTGACGATCGAGGATGGCCCTCTTTTTATACGATCGATGATGGAAACGCGGAATTGGAATGCAAGAGGGCAAGACACGAGGGCGTAACTGGCTAGAGGGAAAGAGCTGGAGCAGTGAGGCGGAGAGGGGGTCCAATTCGAAGGGTCGACTCCGAGAGAGGGGGGAGGGGACTCTTTAGAGAAAGATCTGAAATGGCTGACTCACCCCCCACCCAGAGATCCAGATATTAGAATAGGTAGAGACGGCGATTGAGCGCTCGTACCAGGCTCCAGTCGAGTGTGTATTCTTCTGTTCAAAAGTGGCAAGGCTCCCGCAGTTTCGAGTCGATGACGGCAGACCGCGGCGCAAGAAATGATATACGATTATCTCAGGACCTGCTGTGGCAAGAAATATAAAGCAATAAGGCGGTCGCAAGCGGTAAAAAGGCAGAGAGCCCTGCTGCTGGGTGTCTGCAGAATGATGGCAACGGGTAAGGTCCAAGAATGATGGGTGAGCGGTAGGGAAAGGAGACAAACAAGTGAATCGAAACCGGGTGTGGCAAGTAAAGTCATACGTGGAAGGAAAGGCTAAAGCGTCGTAGGGACCGGGGGGAGGGGTAGCGGGCGGGGTGACTCACTGTCCCAACCAGCCTGTACAAATGAAGAAGAAGCACGGGAGCGAAACGGAGTCAACGAGCATGTCATGGTGACTGTCCTCTTTTCGCTTTTGCGTAACGCCGCCTTTTCCATTCGTACCGTCCACGGTTCACAAGCAACCTCTTTTGCCTGCACGTCGTCCGACACGGCTCACGCAACAAAAGACTCAGGATACAAACGCGTATTCCATCGCAGTATTCCAACAGGCGCGCCTGGGGGCGTGGGCGTAAACATTCGAAAGGCGCCGACCTTTTTGTTGAATCGATGGCAATTGGATTGACAGTCGCTCGAGTGGCTCGGAATGTAGACGGATCTGAGATCGAGAGTCTGCGGTTTTATTCCAGTATTTTTATGCCATAATAGTCATCGTCCTCCATAGTATCGGCGAAGTAGGCTGGGTCGAAATACTACAAGACTCCTCTGGGTACTATGCTTGTCGGGTTCTCGAAAGGCGAGTCGATCCCCGCGGTGTACAGT